GATATTACTGAAAAAAAATTAAATAGCAGAGCGCAGCCGGTGGGATCATGCGTTTTGTGCAATTCTATCCACCGAACGATTGCTAATTAATGTTGAAAAATAGTTAAAAATTTCATGCATCGGTAGTGAAAGCTGAATTTGAAATCTTGAAGGCTGAATATCTCTCCAAAATTTCAACTTTCTAATTTTCTGGCTTCTGAGTGGTCTTTGAGACGAAATTTTCACGTAATCGCACGTGGAACCTCGGCATACTTAGGGACTGAATTCGCGTTCGTAAAGCACCTGGAATTTTAGCCTTCTAACTTTTCTGGCTCTCGAATTTATGATCTTCCTTGCCAAAACTCTCACGGGGATGTTGAAAATTTGTGAGTTATATGTAGGCAGGAGATGCCTTCCTAGCTTTTGCAGTTAACGAAGCAGTTCTCCTTCCAAAACTTTCACGGGATCGCACGTAGTGCCCAGATATGCGCGAAGGCTGAGTTCATATTTCCGAGGATCACACGCCGATCGGGGACATCGCCGTAAAATTTCAGATTCCCGACTTTTGTGTTTCCCGAGATAATAATTTTCCCTGCCGAAACTTTCATCGGGTTTGTTGTGCTCACCATCCTGCTGTGGTTTACCACCATTTGGAGCCATGGTGAACTTGCGCGGGCGCCTTTCAGCGTCGAAGGACGTTGAGGAACAACGACGAAGCGCTGATCGACCAGGAGGCTCTGCTTCGCCACCGCCACCACCGACGAGGAACGACGATGCGTTGATCGACGGGCGGATTGTGGACAAACTTATCGGCAGACGTTCTCACGAAGGCTCTCTGCAATACCTAGTGTGCTGGTACGGCGTTCCGGAAGAGGATACCACATGGGTGAACGCTGAAAAATTGGTGCGTATATTTATTTCTGTTGTTTAATGTATAGCTCGAGTTCCCCTTCAATTTCTTCCTGAAAATCAGAAATGGCTTGGCCATCCCTCCAGGTTACGATATGTCCGGTCTTTCGTTGCGTTAAAACGCGCGCACGCACGCTGAGAGCGTTGCATGATATACAGTCGAGTTCCTGGAAAAAACGGATTATGAATTCATCTCTCAACAGCGACCTACAATTGTGGATGCATATTGTGTGGTCTGGGATCTCGCTTGTTCCGGCACCAAGTTAAGCACTTGAGATTCCTCGAGGCCATGCAACAGCGCGTCCCGCACCTAAGCTCCACTTCCTTCCCTTGCCACAGATTACCCGAACATAGAGGTGAAATTACTTGAACAGGCTCGGGTTGTTTGCTTAAACGCCGAGCCGCGACTTCCCAAATTCCAAGTAATTTCTGTCATTTGTCCAAGTACTGCATTTACAGTCGTGCAGTACTTGGATTCTTTAGAGCAAAGAGCACTCATTTTTGTTTACCTTGAACATCTCTGTCTTTTTACTTGGACTAGTGAGGATTAATTGGACGGGTGAAGGAGCGATACTTGGATTTTCGATTTCTTGTTTCATTCATTTTCTCCCCGTAAGGTGTAGTATGGAGCTTCTGCTTTCATGGCTACGTGGTTCTCATAACATTACCAACCGCTTGTCACTTTGGTACCGGTTCCTCTCGATATGCGTGCAGTT